CAAATTAAATTATATTTTAGTTGTACATTTACTTCTGATTTAGCAGAAATCATGTAAAAACATTATAAGCCAGCAAACGCGATAGGCAAATTTATTATTATAAAGTAGTAACACTTGACGTTCAGTAGATATGCAGTAACGGGGGAATAACGGTTATTTACGACAGTGCAAGTACACCACAGCGGCTCTAGAGGTCACTGTTTTACAAAAACATCAGAGATGCATAGTGTGGCATTGTTTTTTAACATCCATCAGCTGGAAAAAAAAATAACTCTGATTCTGTTGATATTATTTCTATCATTACTGTAAGCTGTGACGTGAACTCTGATATCTAATAGTTTATTATTAAAACCTTTAAGCTATCAATATTGATGTGATCGTGAATGGGCCTTTATTGTCAATTAGGGATCCAGTATATATATATATATATATATATCGGCCAGCATATCGGTATCGGCCGATATGTGTTTATTTTTTTGTCATTATCACCCCAATAAAAATGATTTTTTGATGTAAAAATAATAAATATAGCCATTATAGACGCGCTCACATACAGTAAATCAGATATTGATGTACGATATTAATAATTAATCAAAAATTAGTGTGTTAAACTGGCGGCTATGGAAAGGGGCGGGACACACTCATGATTTGTTAACTGAGTTTGAAGAAGAAAGATGAATCCGGCTTGAGTTACGGGTCCGTCTGCGCTCGCTGACATGAGACATCAATGTGGACCTTTTAGGCTCAGTCTTGTTTGTTTTTAGATGTTGTTTTTAACCCCTTTTAGTAAGCTTCTCACATACACCGCTTCATTTTAATGGTGACAAATGATTTAAGTGCAAATAATAAATGTATTCACTTACAATTCTACAATTCAAAATTACAATTCACTTACAATGTTTCTCTCTTTGAGAGAAAAAATTGCTGTTTAAAGTAGTTTTAGGACAAATAAAGTGTTGTACCGGTCAGAAGTTTGGGGTCGGTAAGTGCTTTTGTCTCTTCTGCAAAAATACAGTAAAAATTGTTAAATATTATCATAATTTAAATCAGCTTGCGGACGACAAGCGCAGGCCTCGTCCTCTCTCTCTCTTCACTGCGACACGAGACCGCTGAAACATTGGAGAAATCTGAATTATTACAAACATTTGACTGGCAGGGTAATAGTGTTTATGGACAGATCACACACACACACACACACACTCCAGCCTCATGCAGTATTAAAGCGCATCACTATTACATTCCAGCGCAGACAAAGCTCCGTTTCCTCGGCTCATAAATAAAGCATGTGATTGTGGATGGCATGTATTATTAATGTTTGCTGGAGAGCGTATCGGCTCTTCAGTTTGTCGCTTCTCGCTGCGTTTAGATCAATAATTGAAACGATATTGTCTGTGATCTGTCAGTCGTGCGGTTTGCTAGCGCTAGGCTAGTTCGGTCTCCAGGATGAACAGATATACACAGATTTCGACACTGATTTGATGAATAATTTCATGTTGCGGTTTTATTGTTTTAGGAAACTGGTTTATCGAAATCATTTTTTAAATATTCCTCAGAGAGAAGTTCTGGTTTGGCACCATTACAGTGATAATACTGGCGATATCTTTTAAATGTTGAGTAAATGAACGGTTATTTCTGCTGCGTTTACCTCTCATGCTAGATAGATGGATGGACACACACACACACTCTCTCATCATCTTGTGTTTCACCTTAAGACTCTCTCTGTCAGTAAAGAGCCGCTGATCTCCCGATTAACCCCTCGTGACCCGCTTTACTCACTGATGTGTGTGTGTGTAGTCTATATAATATGAAAAACCCATGAATGTGTTTGTGTTTGTTCAGTCAGAGTAATTCATCTGGTGATCTCTACACACACACACCTGTTTGATAAAGCACACCTGGTCTATAGAGTTCATCATCAGAGGAATCTGTTCTCTGTAGTTGTGTCTCACGCTCCATTAACTCAAACTAAAACTCATTTATAAACTCCTAAGCCACATTTTCCACACTCTTTCCCCTGTCGTTCATATTCCCTCAGCACACACACACACACACACACACTGTCGCCTGTGTTGTATTTATTTTTCCACAGTTTGTCTGTTGGATCTTGTCTTGTTTCGTCTGAAGCAACATCAATCTCTTTTAGTGTTTCTGTGAAATAAGCCGATCATGTTGTCGGCGTTAACTCCGGTCAGACAGTTTCTTTCTGCTGCTCACAAAGGAGCTCACACACACACACACACACACACTTCACTGAAGGTAAATGACTGCGTGATCTGTTTCTGTTTAGTCGTGCAGAAGAAGTCCAAGAGAAAGGACACATAGCAACCGAGAACAAACACAACCAGCGTCAACAAACAAACCTCTGCATGTCGGACTCTCACACACTCACTTCAGGTTCAATATTCACGCTATATGAGATTAAAAATCATGCTTTATTTGCTGATTAAGTTTCTTGACTTGTGAGCTTGTGAGTGAGCGTTTAGATCAGCCAATAGGAATGAACTTGATGATTTGAACCAATCAGATTTTAAAGTGGGCGGGGCTTCCCAGTGCAATCGAAATCAAAACTCAAATTGAATGTGAGGAGAGCTGTTTTCTCTTCATCTTCTCGTGCAAATCATGGAAATACTGAAGATGTTTCTACAGTAAACGTACGTTTATCTAGTTATGTTCGAGGATCACTAAAGCCAGTATATGTAGATCAAAACTGGCCTGCTTGCATTAGAATTGAGTCTTTACAATAAATCAGTTCAATCTGAATAGACTCATTGTTGAGTCAGTCAGGAAAAATCTGCTTGATTTGGGGGGAATTATGTTTTTTTTTCTGATATAAAATTGTAATTTGAAATTAAAAGCTCTAGGTTTGCTTTGAAGGACTGGACAATTTGGCAAATATTTTTTGTAATTTTAATATAAAAAATTATAATTATTGCTATTATTATTATTAAATAAAAATACTAAATGTTGTAATTTCACTGTGAAAAATCAGTTTTTTAAAGTAAAACAAAATATATAATAATAATTATTATTATTTCATTTTACAGTACAACAGTAAAATTACTAGGACTAATATTTGTGTCTGTCGTATAACTTTTAAAACATTAATATAATAAAAATAGATTTATGATTATTATTATTTCAGTACAACAGTAAAATTACTAATATTGTTTGGCTGTCATGGTTTCTTCATTTTTAGACATTAATATAATAATTAACATTAATATTTTACACTTGAACAGTAAAATTACTAATACTGCTTTTTATGGCTGTCATAGTTTCTTAAATAAAATAAAATAAAAAATAAAAAAATATTATTATTTACCTTCACAGTTCAACAGTATTGTCATAATTTTTTAATTTTTAAAGATTAATATAATGCTAAGTATTATTATTTTACAATATAACAACAGTAAAATTACTAATACCCTCTTAATATCTTCATTTTCAAACATTAGAGCTTTTATTTTGGCAGAAAACACATACATTTGTGTTGATTAGATTGGATTGGATTGGATGAATCCGTATTGTGATAGTGGTTTGCAGCTTTAACCTGTCGCTCGTCCCGCTCTGTGTTATTGAAGCTGCTGTTATTAATAATGCGAAGCCAAACCGCATCGTTCGCTCATGTTTGACTTCAGTCTCACACTCTATTTAACAGCAGACAAACGTTTGCCTGCCAACAGCAGAATAACGACAGCGCCGCTAATGAGCTAATTAAAGTCCCATAAACGGGTCAGCGCACTTACTCAGCACTTCTCACAGCATCACTTGTGTGTGTGTGTGTGTGTGTGTTTATCCATGATGTATACGAGCCGGGACTGGTTTGATGTTTTGAGCTTATCAGACTTTTTTAATATGACTTTTTCTGTGCAATTAACTAAATTTATATCTCTCCATTTTGACTTGTGAGATATAAACTTTCAATTCACATTTATTTGTATAGCGCTTTTCACAATACACATCATTTCGTAATGTGAGTCCACTTTTCAGTTTACAGAGATCTGTTATCATATTTCAGAAAAGTACATATACAAATCACAGTTAGTTAAAAAGATATTAATTTAAAGAATGTAATCATTTGTTGCAGAAGTAATGATCTCATTGCAGTAATGAATACTTGTTTGTTGACAATTGATTGACATTTAGAAAAATAGCATTGATTCAGAGTTTGTGTCATTTCTTCTATACAAGTCATCCGTTTGCGCAGATGCTGTAAAGCGTAAGTGATCCGTGAGCAGATTGAAGTTGAAGACTCTTTGTGTTGGCACTGCTGGTGTGGTTTGGGAATGAGTGTGTGTGTGTTACAGCTGCATCTGGGATTCGGACTCTGTATTGGGTTTCTGGATGATTGAGTGATTTACGCTCACGCTGTCTTCTCTTACACTGATCATCCATCTTATTTGAAATATTTTTTTATTATCCAAATCATTATCAATGATCGTCTACTTTTTTAGTTATGTATCTTTAGTTTGTATTAGTTATTTAATTATTAGTAAGTGTTTTATTTTGATTTCAATATATTTTTATTTAGCATTTTTTTATGATGTAATGAATTATTAGTAACTGTATGATTTAGTAAGTTTTATCTCGATTGTTTTTTTTAATTATTATTTTATTTAAATTATTAAATTATTAAATAATTTTATTTAAATTATTAAATTATTATTTTATTTAAAAATTAATGTAAAAATATTTACAAAAAAAAAGTAAAAATATTTAAAAATTATGAAAATTTTTAAAAATTATAAAAAAATGTTTAAATAAATAATTTAAAAATATTTTAAAATTATATTATTTTTATATTTTATAAATGATTAATATGTTTTTTTTATTGTAAAATTATTTGTTTAATTGACTTTTTAACATTTTATTATAAGTGTTTTATTGTGATTTGCATTTTTGTTATGAAATGTGAAGCATCTGTGGTTCACGTCTCTGATTTTCCTTCACTTCCCGTTTCTTCGGGATCTGCTAATCTCCTCTTTGCTCTTCTCTTCCAGTGTCTGGAGCCTTGCACGGCCTCATGGGACCTGAAGGAGAACCAGTGTCAGGACTTGTGTGAGGTACGAGACGAGTCGTTTCCCCAGCGCTAAACTATTGCTCTTTTAATCATTGTTTAAACGGGTCCTATAATGCCCTTTTCTCATGTATGTATGTGAATAAGTCTCTGATGTCCCCAGTGAATATGGCGGGGTTTATGCAAATTCTAGGGTTGGTGATGTCACTAACCCGCGTGGAAGCTCGTGTAGTTCTACCAGCCGATTCTACAAAGAAGTTTTGGTCTGATTTAAATTATTTCATATTTCATCCTCCCAGGATGATTTATAACTTTTCTCTCAAGGATGTAATATGTTATTATGATAATAGTAAGGATCAATCTCTAATTCATGTGGTGAACGTTCTCATTTTATTGGGGAAATTTTTCATTCATAAGCAGAAATTCTTAGGCTCTCAACCCTCATTCCCTTTATTTTTAGTAGAACTTTTTAGTAGAAGAGGAATTTACTATTTATGTATTCTGTGGCTAGCTATTTTTATTGTTTATTTATTTATTTATTTTATTTAAATGGAATAATTGTAATGCATATGTATGGATATGTTTGTGTGTGTGTATATGTCCATATTTTTTTTTTTATGCTTATATTTTATGATATGAGAAATTTGTTAACCTTTCTATTTCTGTTTGGTGTTTGAATGTATCTGACTAATTTTTGTAATTTACAATAAAAAAAACAAGTTCTACCAGCCGTTTGTTGTAGTCCTGTAAAAGCAAATCTCTCTCTTTGCTCTGAACTTGGAGTGTCGTAACTTTGCAGATGTTGTTTATGCTCAAACACACTAACTATAAAGTTACACTCTTAGAAGAAAAGGTTCTATATAGAACCTTAGAAGGTTCTATCAGCGCTACTTATTTGGAACCCCTAAAAGGTTCTATACACTCTTAAAAAGGGTTCCTCTGGGTTCTATATAGAACCCTGGGGTTCCATACTTGGCCAATAGAACCTTTTACCAAAAAAAATGGTATATTCCATATATGAAGCGGGGGATGGAACCATTTCTGGTTCTAAATAGAACCATTTCTTCTAAGAGTGTAGAGAAGTGAAATCGTCCTCAACCGGCCCTTTAATGGTGTTGCTCTGCTTGTGTTTTCAGACTCAGTTCCCGAAGAAGCACTACGAGTGTCTGACGAGCTGCGAGTTCTTGCGTTCGGTGGAGTCGCTGAAGCAGGGCGCGTGTCCGGCGCCGGATCGAGCCAGTGGGTTCGCAGCGGCTTGTGTCGAGAGCTGTGAGGAAGACAGCGAGTGCTCGACTATAAAGAAGTGCTGTCCCAATGGATGCGGACACACCTGCCAGACCCCCAAGAACCTCTATAGAGGTACACACTCTTCCTCAGCACTGGTGTGGAAGTAAAATAATGAGGGTTTGCGGTTACTCGCCAGACTGAGATATATATATATGTATATATATATATATATATATATTAGGGGTGGCACGGTACATGAAAAAACACCCGAACCGTTCGGTTCGCTTGTCTCGGTTCGGAGCGTGTGTGCGTCTCACGGTTCGACGCATGCGCAATGCAACCTCGTGCCCGTATGTGACGTGTGTTTTCTTTTCGCGCGACATAAGCTTGTTCGACTGCACAGAGCGATCGGTGAATAACATCAGTCTAGCGCGAGTCGGCTCCGTATGCATTCATCACTTTCGCGGTATTTGATGTCATTACCGATCGCTCTGTGCAGCGCCGGTTCAAGTTAATAAACAAGCCAGTAAAAGTGGAGTATGGAGCGCTGCAGGTCACGGCACGCGGAGAAATGGCAAGTGGGAGAGATGAGGGAGTTGGAGGATGCGCCAGCGTCGTATAAGTCTATGGTATAAGTCCGGTGTGTGGGAACATTTTGGATTTCATGTTATGATATTTTAATTTTACTACAGTGGCACTTTATGTATAGATAAGAGCTTCAGTCATACGTTTCCAAACCCTGCACTTTAATTTTAAGTGGAAAAAAGTACAATGTTATAAAATAAAAAGGCAATGTTTATGGCCTTTGCTATTGCTATAGCTTAATTATCTATAGGCAATGAGGTTTCATGTATATTGACATTTAAAAGACAGTGTTTTAAGAGTTCCTCTCTTTTTCTTTTAAAATATAGAATTTTGGTAAGAGCTACAAAAGTAAGCAGTTGATACATGAAAGTTAATTTCTTTGTGTAAATAAGATTTATGTGATAAAAATGCACAAGTTCTTGTAGAGATAGTGATACACATTCTCCTTTTTTTTGCCAAATAAACAAAAAGCATGTCAATTTCTTTCTCTCTTGCTGTATCTAAATCTCACCTAGCTTTCCTCTGAGATAGTCCAAAAATGTGCTTAAAGTCAAAGAGTGAAATTCAGTTTGTGCATGATTGCATGAATATAATATATATTTTTTTAATGCTGTATCCTAAAGTGTGGATAATTAAGCTATATATCACATGCTGAAGTACATTTCTGGAGTGTTAAAGATTAAAAGAAAAAATAACAAGAACCGTACAGAACCGAAAACCGTGACCCTAAAACCGTGATACAAACCGAACCGTGGGTTTTGTGAACCGTGCCACCCCTAATATATATATATATATATATATATATATATATATATATATATACATTTAGATATTTAAAAAGCTTTTCCTTTTTACAATGATAAGCTAATTTGGTGGAATTAAATATCTAAATTCCTTCGCCTGCTTTCAGGGGTCACGGTTCAGCTTATTGTGTAAGTAGGATCAAAAATACAGTAAAAATAGTGATATATTATTCCAGTGTAAATCATCTGTTTTTTATGTGAATATACAGTAAAGTTTAATTTATTCCTGTGATCAAAGCTGAATTTATCATCATTACTCCAGTCTTCAGTGTCACATGACCCTTCAGAAATCACTCTAATATGAGGATTAGACATTTAGATATCTAAAAAGCTTTTCCTTTTTACAATGATAAGCTAATTTGGTGGGATTAAATATCTAAATGTTTTTGGCCATACCCATTGACTTTCATAGTGTGTCCAAAAGTCATACAGATTTACATATTGTCATGATTGTTATCCGTCTGAATAGTTTACTTTATAATTGTAATTCTTATGCTGTAATAAGGCAGACATTAGAGAGATAATAATTAAGATAATTTAGTTTTTTTCATGTTTTTCAAAGAAGTCTCCTCTTCACCAAGGCTGCGTTTATATGATCGAAAATACAGTAAAAATTCGGAAATATTTTTACAATGTAAAACAGCTGTTTTCAATATGAATATTTTGTAAAATTTTATTTATTTATTGTTGCAAAGCTACATTTTCAGCATTATATATATATATATTTTAATAATGTTACAGAAGATTCAATTTCAAATGCTTTTGAACTTTTCCACAAAAATATTAATCAGCAAAAACATTTTCAACTTCAGATCCTCATATTAGAGTGATTTCTGAAGGGTCATGTGACACTGTGGAGACTGCAGCAATGATGATAAATTCAGCTTTGATCACAGGAATAAATTAAACTTTACTGTATATTCACATAGAAAACTGATGATTTACACTGGAATAATATATCACTATTTTTACTGTATTTTTGATCATAATTGCAGAATAAGCTGAACCGTGACCCCTGAAAGCAGGCGAAGGAAGCGTTACGGTTTATCTGCACGTGATCGTTATTAATGTCAGATTTACTGGTTCCCCCTCATTTGCAGAAAGTCATAAAGCCTTTTACTGAAATCCAAACCCAATCAGCCTGATTCTCTGGTGTCAGGAGCGTGATTATTTCTGGTGAAGATGCTGGAAACCATTAACCGGCTCGATGGAGCGTTGAGTGTTTCTCGTGTTCTCGATCGCTCTCAGATGTTCCTCGGGACACAGATTATTACACGGCGCTGTGGAATACTGCATTCTGATTGGTCAATCCCACATCCAGCGGTGTATTATTCCCAGATAACAGCAGAAGCACAGGGTCACTGACGACATCAGCGCTACACACTCCATCAGTGGAAGTTTTGCGTTTGGTGAGCTAATAAAATATTAAAAGTCACGTAGACTTTCATTGAAGGGATGAACATTTTCAAACATGAAACATTTTCAATCCACAACATGCGAAACATACAAGCAACATGTTAAAGTGGTGGTATAATACCCTTTTCACAAGACTTTAAAAAACGACTTTGGATTAAAGAGTGTGCCAAATGCATATAAATCTAATCTAAGTATATATGCATAAATGTAGTCAAATTTTGCTCCACTGACGGTTTTATTTTCGGCTCCACAAACGTTTATCATTGCATCTGCATTTCTTCAGTTCATGCTTTCCTGGGAAAGGACTGAGGAACGAAGCGACGTGCACCTGTGGAGGCTTCATGTGTGGTTACGGGTGAATCTCAGTCGGAGTGTGTGTGTGAGGAGCGGTTAGTCTGTGGGATTTGGGATCAGACGTCACACACACACATGTGCTGTAGTTGTGAAACCGCAGCTCAATCCAGTACAGATGCTGTTCAGCTTCTTCAACATCACTGAGATCAGGGTTTCAGGCCTTCGACTTCTTCATCCACGGTGGAAAAGTTCATCCATGTTGTATTTCTCCATCCTGAGTTTAATGCAGTCAAGATGTTGAGGACAACAGTTTTTTGCTATTAAGATGATCCTCCTCCAGTGATATTTTAAGTAGTTTTAATTCATAATTGAATTTTTTTTTCTTTCAGATTTTCCGGTTTCAATTTAATTTTAGATGGTTTTAGTGTTTTTTGTTACTTTTTTTTCAATTGATATATTTTTTATTTATATTTGTCAATTTAGTTAATTATAATAACCCTAAGAAAGTGAAATAACACATAAAATAAAATATTAATATTAATGATACTATTATAGTTTAATATTTTCAAATTTATTAGTTTTGTTTTTTTTTTGTTATATTTTGATGAGAAAATATTTTATTTTATCATTTTATATTATTTTTTTTCAGATTTTCCATTTTCAATTTAATTTTAGATGGTTTTAGTATTTTTTTGTTAGTTTTTGCTTTTTTTCAATCGATATATTTTTTATTTATATTTGTCAATTTAGTTAATTATAATAACCCTAAGAAAATGAAATAACACATCAAATAAAATATTAATATTAATGATACTATTATAGTTTAATATTTTCAAATTTATTACTTTTGTTTTTTTTGTTATATTTTGATGAGAAAACATTTTATTTTTTTAAATATATTTGTATTTTTTATTAGTTTTATTTCAGGTTCAGTTTTAGTACATCAAGTTAAACTAAAAGAAAGTGAAGTAAGTTTATTTAAAGTAAGTTTGGTTTTTATATATATTTTTTATGTCAGTTAAAGTTTATTTTATTTCAAGTAATACAAATATTTTTGGTGGTTTTAGTTAAATATTACATCCCTGAAAAGTGAAGGAATAAATGCATTAAATATAAATATTACACATACTATTAGATCTTTTATTAGTATTTAGAATTGTATTAATTTTTAATTTTTAATCGTTTTAATTTTAGTTTGTATTAGTCATTTTTGTTCGTTTTTGCTTTTTATAGTATGTCTGTAGTATTTTTTTTAATACTGTATATAGTATATATATATATATAACCCTATATATATATAGTTTATTAAAATCCATTAAAATGAAATAACACAAAATAAAATACAAATATTACTGATACTATTATAGTTTTTATTAAAACAATTTTTTTTTCATTTTAATTTAGTTTTAGTAATTTTTTGTGTGGTTTTTGCTCATGCTATACTTAAAAAATTCTAATATATAAATATACTAATGGTATTAGTTTTATTTAACTAAACTGTTAACTTCATGTATCCCTGAAAAGTGAAATAATAAAACAAATAAAATATTAAATATTAGATGAAAAACGTATCTGCTACATAAAGCAAGTTTAAATTACCTACTGGCAATAAATGAAACCTTAAGCCAATAATCCTAATTTGTCATATTTAAAAAGAAACTAATAAAAATGACAAAATTGAATGTTCATTTATTTGTTTCTTTGAAGTAACACTTGAAATGCGTTTGATGGGTTTAGTTGCAGTGAACTCTAATAACCCCGTCCTGATTGATGGAGTGTGTGTAAGATCTTCCTCGTTCTTCATCACAGCTGTACCCAATCGAGGAGACACACGGAGCAGAACATGTGCTCCTCTCTCTCGGCTTTGTACTTTGTAAATCTTTCATTGAGTACATATGGAGGAACTTCTAATGTCTTTGAGGGTTAAAGTCTCCAGCATATGGGAGGTCCGGCGTCATTATATCATAATTTTATCATGATGTTCAATTAAACAATTTTAGATTTTAAACAATGTCTATTTTTGTCTAATCCAGTGATATATTGGATTATTTTCTCTTTTTATTTGGACACAAAGATTAAATGAAAATATACAGTCATATCAAAAACTATTCATATAATTTTTTTGATTATATTTATATTTTACTAGTGTGTGCAGGACATTATAGTTCATTTATATAAGTGAGGAGAGCAAAACAAAGTAAATTGTGACGTATTACACCCAAATATTCTTCATACAGTGACTACCAGTACCATTTATTTAAAAAATAGTGTTTTCTGTAACTGCTAATGCTGTTTTTACACATAAAGCATTGCTTGGTCACTGGTTGAGCTAAACTGCTATTATCTAATTGTGTAGTTCAATTTAACAGCCGACAGATATTCAACATAATTCATGTGTGAGAGTCCAAAACCAGTCAAATATCCACCATTTTCAAATAAACGGTGATAATGTGAATAATGTCACATTTTTAAGACACATTTAGGTTGTTATTGAGTGTGTGTTGTTGGCTCTCGCAGGATCTCCGCTGAAGCCGCGGAAGGAGCTGGTGTTCTGGGAGCATCCGTCGGGAAAACTGGAGGTCCGCTGGTCGTCGCGGTTCAACGTCTCGGTGGAACCGGTGCTCTACGTGTTGCAGCGGCGCTGGAACTTCGGCATCCACCCCAGCGAAGACGACGCCACCCAGTGGCTGGATGTGGCACAGGTCTGTCCTCTCGCCCCAGTCATGCAACTTTAAAGGTGTCCTATAATAAGTCTCTGATGTCCCCAGCGTGAGTGACGTTTCAGCTCAAAAACCCCACAGATATTTTCTATATCAGATAAAATTGTCACTTTTTGAGGGTGAGAGAAAACGCGCCTTTTTTGTGTGTGTCCCTTTAAATGCAAATGAGCCGCTGCTGCCGGCACAGGGGGCGGGGCTTCATGAGCTAAACCGTTTTTGTGTGTGTCCCTTTAAATGCAAATGAGCCGCTGCTGCCGGCACAGGGGGCGGGGCTTCATGAGCTAAACCGTTTTTGTGTGTGTCCCTTTAAATGCAAATGAGCCACTGCTGCCGGCACAGGGGGCGGGGCTTCATGAGGTTGTGCATTTTTTTTATTTTTTATTTTTTTATTGCATGAACAACAATTACAGAACATCAACAAAAAATAAAGAAAGAAAGAATACAAAAAATGTACATAAATAAAAAAAAATGTCAGGGTTAAAGATACACAAATACACAAACAATACTGAAAACAATACTAAATTGACCAAACAAACAATAAAAGGCTTTGACATTTCACAAAATCTGAAAAGTATTCAACAAATAAATGGTTTTAACAGCTTTTTTATTTGTACTGTCCTTAATGGAAACCATATGATTCTCTAATTCTTTCAATAGCACAGAAAAAAAAGGTTTCTGATTAGTAAATTTACACCGATGAATATGAAAATTACCTAAAATAATCAAAAGATTAATAATATATGCTTCCTTTTCCATGCTCTTTTCATATTGTAAAAAAACAAATATTACATGTTCGTATAACAAAAGAAAATGACATCCTAATTTGTTATTTATAAATTTAGAAACTTCCCAATCCCACCACAACCTTTGGGTGTATTGACGGATTCACACAAAAATGATGTCAACATGTCCGTCATGTTGTATCAGACACAATCCGTTATGCTTTTAGTTTTAGTCCAGAAAGACACGCATGTGAAAAAATTAATATTTAGTAATGTTATCGATTTCACTGCATTGACACTAGTTGAGGATCGCATTGAATTGAGCCGAATAACAAACGACACTATTGTCTTCTCACTGCTTTATCACTGAAATTGAATTAATTTCATAATAGAGTTTGCAACGCCGACTGAATTGAGCTGAGCCGAATAACGACACTATTATCTTCTGTAAAGCTGTAATGTAGAGCTTTGTTAGTTCATAATTGTGGAATTTTTACTTTTGTGAAGCAATCTATTGTATAAAGTGGTATAGAAATAAATATGACAACTTAAATAGAGGTGGGAAACTTTTAAGTGTCTTCCAGTTGGATTTGCTTTTCATTCAAAGAGTCAAAATCACAATTTCAGAATGATTTACTGCAAAACGAATTTCTTAGTCCATATTTCTGGCACAAATATCTAAAAATTCATAAATCAAGAAGTCTTTTATTAAAGGAGTAGTTAAAAAAAAACTTTTGCTGATAATTTACTCTCCCTTATGTCATCCAAGATGTCCATGTCTTTCTTTCTTTCTTCAGTCGAAAAGAAATGAAGGTTTTTGATGAAAACATTCCAGGATTTTCTCCATATAATGGACTTCAATGGGGACCAAACGGTTCAAGGTCTAAATGAGAGTTTCAGTGCAAACTGTTCAAAGGGCTTTAAACGATTCCAGACGATGAATAAGGGTCTTATCAAGCGAAACGATCGCTCACTTAATAAAAAAAAATAACAAAGTTTAAGTTTTATAAGCTCAAATGCTCGCCTTGCTCTGTTCTGTGATGCGCGTTCGTGACTCTCCTGTTCAAACTCATTCATCAAAATGAACAAATCTTTTTTCTAGTCATGAACCGAAGGATCCTTGATAAGACCCTTATTCATCGTCTGGAATCGTTTAAAGCCCTTTGAACAGTTTGCACTGAAACTCTCATTTGGACCTTGAACCGTTTGGACCCCATTGAAGTCCATTATATGGAGAAAATCCTGGAATGTTTTCATCAAAAACCTTCATTTCTTTTCGACTGAAGAAAGAAAGACATGGACATCTTGGATGACACGGGGGCGAGTAAATTATCAGCAAAAGTTTTTTTTAAAGTGAACTACTCCTTTAAGTCTTGTTTTCTGTAAAAATAATCAAAACGAAGTGAGTTTGTGCTTGAAACAAGATCAAAAATCTGCCAATAGGGTCAGAAACAATAAACGTAATTCAAAGATTATATTTCAGACTTCATTGGCAGATATTTGTTCATGTTTTAAGCATGAATCCACTAATTTTTCAGAAAACAAGACTTTCAGTCATTTTCCTTCTCCTCCAGTAAATGTATCTCGATATCAGAGAGATGTGCACAAGTGTCTCGTTTTCTTTCATGTTTTAGAATAGCTCAGGTTCAGCACTCATGTCCGTGACCCCGTGACCCCTGTCCGTGACCTTTGACCCTCTGTGCCCTCAGGTTGCTGAAGAGCGGGTCGTGTTGAGCGACGTGAGGCCGATCCGGTGGTACCAGTTCCGTGTGGCGTCGGTCAATGTCCACGGCACCCGCGGGTTCACGGCTCCCAGCAAACACTTCCGGTCCTCCCGAGGTGAGTGTTCCCGGGTGGCCCCGGACAGCTGCGACCCCTCGGGCAGGTGCGAGCCTTTCATCTCCGCTCCAGCGGCCCGTTTTAGACGCCGTTTACTACAGTCGTTCACAGCCCACATTCAGGCCTGATTTAGAAGAGCTTAAATAAGACCAATAAAGGGATGTTTTTATTTGATAAAAAAAACTCTAAAAAATGTTGGGTTGTTTTAACACAAATTTGGGTCTAATATGGACAAACCCAAATGTTGGGTTAAAAATTTAACCCAATGGCTGAGTTTGTCCATATTTGACCCAAAGATGGGTTAAAACAACCCAGCATTTTTTATAGTGTGTATAAATATAAATATTTATTTTAGTTTTTTTGTGTGGATGGGCGTTAAATACACTTCTACCATGATTTGATAGGAAAAATGATCATTTACATTCAAAATGCAGTTTATTAGATGAGATAAAACACTGCCTTGTAGAAATATCGCATAAATGACTTTGTTATAGGAATATTTCACTTGGAAATAAACATTCTTGCTCCTCATATAATTGCAAACCCGTATGATGTTATTATATTTGTTTAGGAAAAAGCTTAAATGACACCAATTTAACACAATTTTGGGTCAAATATGGACAAACCCAAAAATTGAGTTAAAAATGTAACCCAACGGCTGAGTTTGTCCGTATTTGACCCAAAGTTTGTTTGAAACAACCCAGCATTTTTAGAGTTTGGGAAAAATGATCATTTACGTTCATAAATGCAGTTTATTAGACGTGTTACAACAACGCCTAGTAGAAATATATCATAAAAAACTTTATTAAAGGAATATTTCACATGGAAATAAAAATTCTGTCATTATTTATTGCTCCTCATATTATTGCAAACCCGTATGATGTTGAGTTTTACGTTCACAGAGCCTCCATTTAGGCTTTAGAAGAGCTTAAATAAGACAAATAAAGGGTCCTATTCACTTCTCCTGTGATTCTATGGGAAAAATGATCATTTACATTCAAAATCGGTTGATAAATGCAGTTTATTAGATGAGATAAAACACTGCCTTGTTGAAATATCTCATAATAGACTTTATTTAAGGAACATTTCACTTGGAAATAAAAATTCTGTCATTATTTATTGCTCCTCATATTATTGCAAACCCGTATTTTTTTTTTTTTTTTAGGAAAAAGCTTAAATGACACATAACGTGTAGTTTTATTTGTTTGCTTGGGCGTTAAAATCCCCTTCTCTCGGGATTATACACACTCTGAAAAATGCTGGGTTGTTTTAACCCAATTTTGGGTCAAAAATCGAAAATCGAACAAATCGAAATGTTTTGTTAAAAATATAATTTAAAGCGGCACTATGCAGGAATCCCATTTTTGTCAAACAGCGCCCCCTAGAGTCGTGGTGAAGTACTTGAATTTAACGTTACTGTCGTAAATACCAACCCGATCTCACGGGAATTCGTACGGATTTTACGAGGTGGCTAATTCGTAACAATTCATACGACCTCACTCGTACAAATTAGTAAGATTTTGCTAAATCGTACATATTTTACGAATTGGCCAATTCGTATGAATTTGTACGAATGACCTACCCCTGACCCCGCCCCTAAACCGAACCATCACGTGGGTTAAGACAAATCGTATGAATTTGTACGAATGACCTACCCCTGACCCCGCCCCTAAACCTAACCATCACGTGGGTTTAGACAAATCGTATGAATTCGTACGAGTGAGGTCGTACGAATTAGCCACTTTTTAATCACTCGTACGAATTCGTACGAATTGCTCGTGAGATGGGGTAGTAAATACCACTCGCACAGAGCGTGACATGCCGTGTTACATACTATACAATAGTACATTGTGTTTAATTTGTCGTTTAATGAGATCTATGTTGTTAGTGGTGAGAATTTTCGCGTGATTAAAAAAATCCGACAATTGTCCCCATGAACTTTAATGCCTCTGGGTTCTAATCCGCACTAGTTGTATAGTTTATTTTCCTCATCAAAACCGATTGTTTATTAGTGGCTGTATTTGGAAATGTTTAAGGTTTTGTGATTTCACCGTAACAAATATAGAGAGTCTGTCAGTCCCCGCGGCGGATTGAAGCGCGCGTCCGCGTGAAGACCGCGCGCGTCACAACAGAACACTGTATCCGCGCCACTGATCGCCACGGCAACGAGCGCTTTGGTCACTTGATTTCAAAAACACACTTCAGATCGCCTCTTATTTAACGAACTGACTAAATGAATGCTCCACTCGAGATGTTTTATGTGTGTGTGTTGGTTTCAGTGGGGACATCACTCCCGCGCGTTACGCCTCCGCTCGTGTCCGACTCCTCGAGTAACAATTGTAAAATATTATTCCAATGTAAATATATGTTCAAATTAAATTTATTCCTGTGATCAAAGCTGAATTTCAGCATCATTACTCCACTCTTCAATCTTGTAAACATTTATTTTGCAAATTGCAACTTTGTTAATTCTGACGTTATTTCTCATATGGCAGGGTAATTTTTTGTTATTTAAACATCATCTGGTGTGTGTGTGTGTGTGTGTGGCCTCACAGGATCATAATCCATCCGTGTTTATTGCAACTGTAATCACATGAACGTACATCACACCGTAATTATGACTTTCAAACGTATAAGTAGAGACTTCCCGGCGGGATCTGAGGGCCTTGAGCGATTCGATTAGTGCTCTACACTGTCATCCGTAATGATTTATCACTGTGTGTGCAGACCCGTCTCCTCCGCCGACCCCTGTGGGCCTGAACCTGACGCTGGGTCCCGAGGGTCTGATGAGCGCTCGACTCCACTGGATTCTTCCGGCAGAATCCGATGTTCCCGTTCATCACTTCAGAGTCTCCTGGACCTGCAGCGTCCCGGGACAATCCCCGGCGCCGTCCCGGAGGAAGAGGAGGAAGACCATCGACGGGGTAATGAGGACCTCTTCCCTGACCTCTCCATCCGAGATGCGTTTAACATGTCTCAGGATGTCAACGGATGATTTTGCTTGTTTTAAGCAAAAACTAGCTTCTTTTTGTTCTTTTCTTTTAAAAACAACAACAAATTTTAGTAATCTAGTAAATTATTCTTAATTTAAGATTTTCCAAGTAAGTACCAAGAAAAATACTAAGTTTTGCAGTTTAGTGAATCGGTTCATTGAAACGAACAGTCCAAAGGAACCATTTGCCAGAAAAGAATTGAACTGCCCATCACAACCGTAACTGAAATTACAATGAAATTGAAATTATTTGCAGACATAACTACTTTTATTTTTGTTTTGCATTTGGATATATATTTAGACATTATCAAAGCATCATCATGGTTGGTTTGTAGATTATAACCCCAAAATTACTCTATTTTCCATTTATTTCCAATGTCGATCCACTTATTGTTTTATAATCAAGCTTATTTTTCTTGTTTTCCAGTAGAATTAAGATTATTTGTCTTGTTTTTCCATTAGAATTAAGCTTATTTTTCTTTTTTCCATTTAGAATTTATTTTTCTTGTTTTCCATTATAATTAAGATTATTTTACTTTTTTCACATTAGAATTAAAATTATTTTCTTGTTTTCCATTAGAATTAAGATTATTTTTCTTGTTTTTCCATTAGAATTAAGATTATTTTTCTTGTTTTCCAGTAGAATTAAGATTATTTTTCTTGTTTTCCATTAGAATTAAGATTATTTTTCTTGTTTCCATTAGAATTAAGATTATCTTTCTTGTTTTCCATTAGAATTAAGATTATTTTCCTTTTTCCCATTAGAATTAAGATTATTTTCTTGTTTTCCATTAGAATTAAGATTATTTTTCTTGTTTTCCATTAGAATTAAGATTATTTTCCTTTTTCCCATTAGAATTAAGATTATTTTCTTGTTTTCCATTAGAATTAAGATTATTTTTCTTGTTTTTCCATTAGAATTAAGATTATGTTTCTAGTTTTCCATTAGAATTAAGATTATTTTTCTTGTTTTCCATTAGAATTAAGATTATTTTTCTTGTTTTCCATTAGAATTAAGATTATTTTTCTTGTTTTCCATTAGAATTAAGATTATTTTTCTTGTTTTCCATTAGAATTAAGATTATTTTTCTTGTTTTCCATTAGAATTAAGATTATTGTTCTTGTTTTTCCATTAGAATTAAGATTTCCATTAGAATTAAGATTATTTTCTTCTTTTCCATTAGAATTAAGATTATGTTTCTAGTTTTCCATTAGAATTAAGATTATTTTTCATGTTTCCATTAGAATTAAGATTATTTTTCTTGTTTTCCATTAGAATTAAGATTATTTTTCTTGTTTTTCCATTAGAATTAAGATTTCCATTAGAATTAAGATTATTTTCTTGTTTTCCATTAGAATTAAGATTATGTTTCTAGTTTTCCATTAGAATTAAGATTATTTTTCTTCTTTTTCCATTAGAATTAAGATTATTTTTCTTGTTTTCCATTCCATTTATTTTCAGACATAATCACTTGCTTTTATTTGGTTTTGGATTTGAATATATATTTAGACATTATCAAAAACCGCATCGATTTGTAGATTATACCCCTAAAATTGCTCTGCCTTTCTCATTTATTTCCAATGCCGATCCACTTAGCGTTTTCGAATCAAGTCCACAGTTTTTCTGGGTTCATATAACTAGTCCCACGAAAGTTTCATACCATTCTGCTAAAGTAGAAACAGAGAAGTTGAAATAAAGCAGAAGTAAAACATGACATATTAAAGCTCAGTTGACTGTGAAACTCCTCCAGCGAGTGTGTTCATAATCTCCGACACACGATCTGTGTGTGGAGTTAGCGACCCGCTGATGCAGGAATGCCCAAACTAACCGGTTTAATAGCTAACCCGATCAAGCTCCCGCGGCGGTCAGGAGACACATGTGCTCCTGATAAACACATCAAACACAGCCCTCATGTCAAACACACACTTACACTCAAGAGCAACGTCTGCTCCCAGATTCTTCTGTGTGTTATTATGTCAGTTATGTTAGCAGGAGCCAAAACACACAAAAATCACATTTCTGCACATCTAGAAACTTTATTTATTCCATAAAAATCATATTTGTTAATGTACTGCTCCTGTTATATAATTTGTTATATATTTAACGTCACCTGCTAAATGTCAAATATATTACATATATAAAAAATGTCTCAAGTACATTTAATATATGAAATATGTGTCAAATATATTATGTATGAAATACGTTATTTATGTTAAATGTTAAACATATATATTATATATGAAATATATGTTATGTATTAAGTACATGTCAAAAATATTATATTTTAAATGTGTGTCAGATATGTTGTATATTAGATATGTTATATATTAAATGTCAAATATTGTATATAGATATATTCGGAGCGCTGGACGGGTCTGGTTGATGAAGGGATGTAAACGAGTGTGTGTGTGTTGCAGGCGCAGCGCTGGACGGCTCTGGACGGGCTTCAGTGGAACTGCAGTGGCTCGGTGGAGGTCCAGGCCGTGTCGTTCTGGGGTCAGCGCCGACTGAAGAGTCCCAAAGCCTCCGTTCACATCGACACACAACAACACACTCAGTCAAGTATGACATCATCTTCAGTGCACGATCACATGAGGGAATATGATTATTACCATAGTCTGTCTGAATACGCCTCTCTGATTGGCTGGAAGGTGTGTAGTAAAACCGTCAAAAAGTCGCTGAAAAAAAAAAAAGCTTGATAAAAATGATAATTTTGGAAGAAAATTTCAAATGGCACTTAGAGGCTTTTGCATCTGAACTCTTCATATGTAATCTCTATAATGTCTCCATGTCGTGCATTACAGTCATTTAATTGCGTATTATGCCTTGCATATGTACATATTTTTAATATTAGCATTATCGGCCTGATTAGAGAATTTGCCTGATATATTAAAACCGCTAAACATTGTATTATTCCCTTCAGATGCGCACTGTTTGACATGATTGATTTGAATATGATTGGAATGACTTTGAAAAGGCAAGGCAAGTTTATTTATATAGCACATTTCATACACAATGGTAATTCAAAGTGCTTTACATGGAAGAAATTAAAATAATCAAAAGAAATCAGAATAATTAAAACAGTTTAGAATAAAAAAAAATCATAATAATAAAAATAAAATACAGAAAAGGAAAACAGATGCAGCGCAAGTCTGTCATATCGGCTACATAACATTATAATAATAATAATTGTGTGTTTGGGGCGTGGATTTTAATGACGAGGCTTGTTTGTTTTTGTAATCAGACTCTCAAAAATTATTAAAAAAAAATTGGATTTAGATTATTGGCCAATATATCGGTTATCGGCTTTCAAATATGAAGAATTATCGGTTATCAGTAATATAAATTACCCCTATAAATATTTAATTTTAAAGATTTTAATTAGTAATTTTTTAATAATTGTATTTTTATTTGTTTAATAAGTGTAGTTATTTGATGGACCATGATGGAAGAACACTTTATTTCCCATATATAATGCTCAAAATCCTTAATTTTGTCAATTATGTAAATATATATTTATATAAATCTTTAAAAAAAAATATATAAAATTAATATATAATAATAACAATATGGTGATAGTTTAGTTTAGGGTCCAGTTCAGCGGTTTCATTAGTAGGCTCCGACTGTTTTCATATTCTTGAGTAATGCAATTTCTCTAATGTTGATTTAGAGGCAGTTTCTAAAGCGAGGAAAGTGCCGGTGAAGAAATCCTCGAGCGCTCTGGGGGTCGGCACACCGTATTACAAGAACGGAGAACTACAGGTGCGCATCTACTGGAAGAAGAGAACAGGTAACACACACACACACACAACATCTATATTATTTTATTTCACGCACGTGAATTGTTTTTTTTTTTTTGTGTATGTAAATTTAGTTTCATGCATGTGAAATTGGCTACACATGTGTGAATCATATTTTTTGCATGAATGATTAATGCGAGCGGAGATGCGTTACTGAAGGATGACGAGTGTGTCAGTCTGAGCGAGGCGTCGGTGTGTTTCTGCTGACTCGGCGTCTTTATTCTGTCGGCCTCAAAGCATCAGGTCAACCTGAACTAATCTCACTTCTGCTTTTACACTTCTAGAGAACAGCTCAGCACAACTTGGGGGAGGCGCAAATATACATGTTCGAGTTCGCTGGTGGCTTTTCTAATGACTAGCTGATAAAACAGCATGACAAAATATATTAAAATAACTAAATAAATGCAGAATATTTTTTTTTTGGTCTAATTTGGAAATATTTCTATTTGAAAGAGTAGAAATTTTTAAATAATTTATTAATTTATTTATTAATCCCCCCCCCCCCCCCCAATTTTTTTCAAATTTTGTTTAATTTAGAAAATGTATTTGTTGATAAAACAGCAAGATGCAATATTTATCAAGAAAAAATATTTTTTTAACATTTAATAGTAAAATTGTTTATTTAGTTATTTACGTTTTAAATTGTCTAATTTAGAAAAAAAAATATTAACCTTTTTATTGCACAAATAATTTAATTATTATTATTATCTATCATATATTTTAGTATTTTTTATAAAACAGCAGGATGCAGGAGGAAAAATAAATATCTTAAACTTTTTAAAGCAAAGAAATGCAACATTTAGAAATAATTTAATTATTAATTTATTTATTAATAGAAATCTAGTCAAATTTAGAAAAAAAATACTAAAACAGCAAGAAAAAACATCTTGAACTTTTTATAGTACAAACTAGAAAATTTAGAATATTTTAATTTATTATAACTCAATTTATTTTAGTCAACTTTAGAAAAATGACTAGTAGATAAAAAGCAAGAAAAATATTAACCTTTTTATTGCACAGACTACAACATTTTAAATAATTTAATTATTAATATTATATAATTATTAAATAATTAATTATTATTATTATCTATCATATAATTTAGAATACTAAAATACTTTTAGGAAAAATAAATATCTTAAACTTTTTATAGCAAAAAACTGCAACATTTAGAATAATTTAATTATTAATTTATTTATTAATAGAAATCAAATTTCTAGTCAAATTTAGAAAAAAATACTAAAACAGCAAGAAAAAACATCTTGAACTTTTTATAGTACAAACTAGAAAATTTAGAATATTTTAATTTATTATAACTCAATTTATATTAGTCAACTTTAGAAAAAATGACTAGTTGATAAAATAGCGAGATACAGAATGAAAAATCTTTATACGTAGCAAAAAAACTACAAAATCTAGATTAATATAATAATTATTTTACTATTAATTAAAATGATTATTTTTTAGTCACATTTATTGATAAAACTGAGATGCAAAACGAAAAAAAAAGTCTTCCTTTATAGATAAAGTAATAATAATTGAATGACAAGTTGGACAATGAGATGCACAGAACTTTGTATAGTATTTCCCTTTTTTTTAACCGCACAGGATTGTGGGATACCATCCGAGGCGGGTAGACGTGCTCTCTCTGCTTCCAGAAATGCCGTCGGCTCCTTCAAAGGCTCCTTTAATCTCCTCGCCAGCGTAACTCAATTATTAATCTGAAATGTATCATTTCACGTCCAAACGGCACGTTGATGGATAATAAACTGGAGGCGCTGCGTAAACACTGTTGATTAGCGCAGTTCTGAGGAAACTAATCAACTGATGATGATGATGAACGCCTCATATTAACTTACAGGAGCACTTCTGCCAAATAATAACGTCTGTTGTTGTTCATGCGACTCGTTTGCATGTTTTTAATGCTGTTGACTGGCGCTGATTTCTAAACGCTGTCGTTGGATTAGTCTCGTGACTCGTTCGTTTCGCGATATACTTGATATCCATTTTTTTCATATCAAATAGTATATAAATATTATATTATATTAATATTATATAATTTATATATCATATAAATATTTCATGTATTTATAAAGCACATTTCAAATCAAAGTGCTGTACAGGAATAAAAAAAGTGAAATAAAAGTTAGATTAGAAGCACAAGATATTAAAGGTGTGTGTTCTGACGGCCAGAGTGTGTATGCTGTTTTCTATTCTGTGTGTGTGTGTGAGATCTCTAACCCGTGTTGATGTTCTGTCTCCAGATGTGTCGGGGAACCGTTATCATGTTCAGTGGAAGCATGAATACTGCAACCACAACCAGAGCCGAGCGGCGGAGAAATCAGTCACTCAGGTGTGTGTGTGTGTGTGTGTGATCTCCATCGTTCCTGCACCACACACTAAACCTCCATTGTGTTCGTGTGTATTTATGATCCACAACAGCATCAGCCAAGAGTGTTCTGAACAAGCCTCTTGCCCTTCATAAACGCAGCCTCTTACGGGACCCAAGACTCATTCCTCTTCATTATTGGAAGCAAATTAGTGTGTGTTGTTTCAGATGATGTGGTCAAAATGTGGTCCAGTGCCTAATAAAACACATGTATTAAAATGACATTTCCAGGAAGTAGGATTGAATTCATCACCCCCCCACCCCCCGGTCCCCACCGGAGCCGTAACCTGCGTCCCGACCGAAGCCTGTTTCAGCTCCACTCCTGCAGATCACGCATTCGGGACTGAAATCTGGCCTTAAAGAGCGACACACTGCTTTCGTGATCGAAAAACTACAGTTAGACCTTTTACAAAGAAAATGTGATTGTTGTTTGCCCATGCAAATGTGGCTCGAGTGTTACGCTTGCTAGGAGAAAATGTGGCACTACAAAGCTAAATTTGTTGTGGGTGGTTGCCAGGATGTTGCTATGGGGTTGCTAAGGCGTTGCTAGGTGGTCTTCTAGGTGGTCACCGGGACTGTCCTATGGGCTTGCGACGCTGTTCTAGTTGGTTGTTAGGGTGTTGCTATGCAGTTTCTAAGGGGTTCTGAGTGGTTCCCAGGACATTGCTATGGGGTTGTTAAGGCGTTGCTATGCAATTAGGTTCTAAGGTCTGCAGGCTGGTCACCAGGACTGTCCCATGGGGTTGCGAAGGTGTTCTAGTTGGTTGCTAGGGTGTTGCTATGCAGTTTCTAAGGGGTTCTGAGTGGTTCCCAGGACATTGCTATGGGGTTGCTAAGGCGTTGCTAGGTGGTGTTCTAGGTGGTCACCGGGACTGTCCTATGGGGTTGCGAAGGTGTTCTAGTTGGTTGCTAGGGTGTTGCTATGCAGTTTCTAAGGGGTTCTGAGTGGTTCCCAGGACATTGCTATGGGGTTGTTAAGGCGTTGCTATGCAATTAGGTTCTAAGGTCTGCAGGCTGGTCACCAGGACTGTCCCATGGGGTTGCGAAGGTGTTCTAGTTGGTTGCTAGGGTGTTGCTATGCAGTTTCTAAGGGGTTCTGAGTGGTTCCCAGGACATTGCTATGGGGTTGTTAAGGCGTTGCTATGCAATAAGGTTCTAAGGTCTGCAGGCTGGTCACCAGGACTGTCCCATGGGTTTGCGAAGGTGTTCTAGTTGGTTGCTAGGGTGTTGGTATGCAGTTTCTAAGATGTTTGGGGTGGTTGCCAAGACGTTGCTCTGGAGTTGTTTAGGTGTTGTAGCTGGCTGCTAGGGGTTGCTATTCAGTTAAGTCCTAAGGTGTTCTAGGGGGTTGCTAGGGTGTTGCTATGCAGTTTCTAAGATGTTCGGGGTGGTTGCCAAGACGTTGCTCTGGAGTTGCTAAGGTGTTGTAGCTGGCTGCTAGGGGTTGCTATGCAGTTAAGTCCTAAGGTGTTCTAGGGGGTTGCTAGGGTGTTGCTATGCAGTTTCTAAGATGTTCGGGGTGGTTGCCAAGACGTTGCTCTGGAGTTGCTAAGGTGTTGTAGCTGGCTGCTAGGGATTGCTATGCAGTTAAGTTCTAAGGTGTTCAAGGGGGTTGCTATGCAGTTTCTAAGATGTTCGGGGTGGTTGCCAAGACGTTGCTCTGGAGTTGCTAAGGTGTTGTAGCTGGCTGCTAGGGGTTGCTATTCAGTTAAGTCCTAAGTTGTTCTAGGGGGTTGCTAGGGTGTTGCTATGCAGTTTCTAAGATGTTCGGGGTGGTTGCCAAGACGTTGCTCTGGAGTTGCTAAGGTGTTGTACCTGGCTGCTAGGGGTTGCTATTCAGTTAAGTCCTAAGGTGTTCTAGGGGGTTGCTAGGGTGTTGCTATGCAGTTTCTAAGATGTTCGGGGTGGTTGCCAAGACGTTGCTCTGGAGTTGTTTAGGTGTTGTAGCTGGCTGCTAGGGGTTGCTATGCAGTTAAGTCCTAAGGTGTTCTAGGGGGTTGCTAGGGTGTTGCTATGCAGTTTCTAAGATGTTCAGGGTGGTTGCCATGACATTGCTCTGGAGTTGCTAAGGTGTTGTAGCTGGCTGCTAGGGGTTGCTATGCAGTTAGGTTCTAAGCTGTTCTAGAGTGTTGCTAGGGTGTTGCTATGCAGTTACTGAGATGTTCGGGGTGGTTGCCAAGACGTTGCTTTGGAGTTGCTAAGGTGTTGTACAGTAGCTGACTGCTATGGGTTGCTATGCAGTTAGGTTCTAAGGTGTTCTAGAGTGTTGCTAGGGTGTTGCTATGCAGTTTCTAAGATTTTTGGGGTGGTTGCCAAGACGTTGGTTTGGAGTTGCTAAGGTGTTGTACAGTAGCTGGCTGCTATGGGTTGCTATGCAGTTAGGTTCTAAGGTGTTCTAGAGTGTTGCTAGGGTGTTGCTATGCAGTTTCTACGATTTTTGGGGTGGTTGCCAAGACGTTGGTTTGGAGTTGCTAAGGTGTTGTACAGTAGCTGGCTGCTATGGGTTGCTATGCAGTTAGGTTCTAAGGTGTTCTAGAGTGTTGCTAGGGTGTTGCTATGCAGTTCGGGGTGATTCATCTAAGGATGTATTGTGGCTCAAACTGTAGAGCGTGGCATTATAACCCCAGGCAGAGAATGCATTGTAAACCTCAAAGGCAATGTAATGTGTTTAATTTGTAGGCATTAGTATGGCCTGTTTTTTTAGAGTGGTTGCCAAGTCACTCCAACAATTCAGTTCAAATTCGATTGACGTTTATTTGTATAACGCTTTTCACAATACACATTATTTCAAAGCAGTTTTACAGAAAGTGCATGAGTCCACATTACAGTTTACAGTGATCTGTTATCAGAGGAGTTATGCATTTTATGAATGTACATATACAAAAACACAGTTAGCGAAAAAGGTACTAATTTAAACAATGTAATAATTTAATGCACAAACAATGAGCTCATTGCTTGTTTGTTAACACATGATTATGACATTTAGAAAAATGATGCATTGATGCATGCTGATTCCATCAACACCGCAGAGACTTCTGCATGAACACACTCCGGTTCTCTCCATCCTCTCTTTAATAAACGTGCTTCTCTGTTGCAGGAGAACTACATTAATCTCCCCAACCTGCTGTTCTCCTGCATGTACACGGTCACGGTTCACACACTCGGTGCGAGACAGCGCTCCTCGGACGAGAGCATAGGCTTCCTCACGCCGTCCTGTGAGATCATCCGGAGCAAGAGCCCGAAGCCCATCGCCTGTCCCGGGGACCAGGGCCGCCTGCACAGGACCGGTGCGGCTTTATATACATTACGCTTGAAATATGACATTGAGTGATTACAGTGGGTTTGTTTGGGAGCAACAGTTGCAGACGTGGTGCTTGTTTTTAAAACTTCATTTTGGTCTTTAGCATGCCGTTGTTCTGGTGCATCTTTTGATATTTTCAGGTTTTTTATTTTACTCTAGTTTCTTTTAATGTTGTAAAAAATACTTTTTAATAAATATTAATATACTGAATTCCTTTTTTAATTTTGTATTTTCAGTTTTTATTTTGTTTTTACTTTTTTATAATAGTTATTTTTAATAAATTTTTTTTAGTAAAAGTTAGTAACTTTTTTAAATAGTTTATTTTATCTAACTTTTTTGTACTTGATGTACTAAGTTGTGCTATTTTTCTATTATTGATAATAGTAAGTAAATTTAGATATACTGATAGATAGATATATAATAATATATTGTTTAAATATATTTTATTCCATTTAACATACATTTTGAATTATTTAATTTTTATTTTATCACTGATATACTTTTATAGTTTTTATTAATGTTTTTTAATTAATTTTTGGTTTTTTTTTACAATTTTTTTTAGTTATTTTATTTTTAATTTATGTTATTTTAGTTATTTTTATTTTTTAAATATTTCATTTTGGTTAACTTTAATTTTTTTCAATTTTTTTTTTACTTTTATTGATATACTGTTCAAGCTTTTATTAATATTTTTATATTTTCAGTTTTCATATTTTAGTTGAAGTTTAAAATTTTATTGATTTTTTAAATATTTTATTCCATTTAACATGTACTTATTTATTTATTTAATTGTTGATATGTTATTATAGTTTGTATTTTTTTTTTTTTTTTGTAGCTATGGTTTGATTTTTATTTTAGTTAAAGTTTTTCCTTGCCATTTTTTTCTCTAATAATTTTTTAACTATTTATTAATTTTTATTTCAGTTTTAGTTATTTTACTTCAAATTGCACTAAACAAAATGAGAAATGTGTTAGTTTTAGTTAACAACAATAACCCTGGCCAAGTGCCTAAAACAAAACAGTGACTAGTTTTTCCTTTATTCATAATTTTGCATCCTCAGACATTTTTACATGTTGTGTGTGTTTACTCGTCACACATGCTCAGCCTGAACCCTCTTCTGTCATCATGATATATTCCATGTAATTTCACGTTTTCCTCGAACCCTCTCCTTAGTGCCGGCGAAGGTTTCGGCTCAGCCTGAGAATCTCACAGCGACCTTCACTCTCCACGACGGGAACGTGACGGGTCACTTCCGCTGGAGGGGGTCGCGACCCCAGTCTCATCAGCCAATCACAGGCTTCCAGGTCACATGGGCTGAGTTTTCCACAGAGAGCCGTCAGAACAGTCTTCCCAACAGCATCATCTCGCAGTCCCAGATCCTGCCACCTGTAAGTCCTCCACACACACCCTTCTCCCACGAGAGCGCACGCACACACATAAATCACATGTTCTTGGCCCATGATTTCATACAAGAGTGTTTCTCATGGAAAATTGGATACATATTCAAGTCCAAGAGTGTGAAATATGATACACACAGCGCTGGCAGGATCTGCTGATGAATCGAGGCTGCTGTTTAATAACCTTTAATAACCGGACCTCATATCATATCTGGAGAACGCTTGAGGAATACACTAAATGTTCACAGCATATTCGTATAATACTTATTTGTATGATAATAGATTTTAGTTGGCAAAGTAAAACTAAAGTAAGTATTAAATGTTAATATTATTTAATAATAATATAATTTGATAAGGGTATTTAATTTTCAAACTTAATATTTTTAAAAGCTGCATATATAAATTGAATATTAAATGTTAATGTTAATATAATTAATTTAATACCAATGAATATAATTTAATTATGAATATATATACTGTATTATTTAATGTTAATATAATTCATAATTAAAATGATTTAATAATTATATTTAATATTTAAATCAAATATTTTTAAAAAGCTGAAAAACATACTCTCTCTCTCTCTCTATATATATATATAATTATAATATAACTTTAATGTTACATGTAATATAACTACCTAATATATTAAACATTGTATTGAATATTTAAGCTAAATATTTGTAATTTTTAATTAATATTTTTTAAAAGCTGTATGTATGTGTGTGTATTAACTTTTCATTTTAAAAAGCTGAAAAAAATATATGTACATGCATAACAATAATTTGAATATTAAATTCTGATTAGTGAACATATAATATAATTTAAGAGTATTTCATTTTAGTATTCAATATTAAATAAAAGCTGAAAAAATCTATAAATGGATTTCATAAATGTAATTTTAACTGGATCACCCAGGGAAGGTTTATGTTGAAGTAAATCCTGGAGATGTATTAGTGTTATTAATGTTCATATGGTACGCATTAGTATGTTCTCATGGATGGAGTGCTGTTTTGAGCTCTGACATCATCACCAGATCTCCTCCATCATCCACTGAACAAACAGTCCTCTCATAACACATCACTCAGATTATGTTTTTTAATATTCATGTCCTTCTGCTGAAGCTTTAATTGACTCAGTCGGACTGAAATGCATCAAATTGATCCCGTCCGTGTGATTCCTCAGATCTGACAGAATATTGAAGCCGGTTTGAAGCACGTCATCATTATCAGATTGGATTCATTAATGAACGATGTGGATTCTGTGATGTTTATTGTTCACAGCGAGTAAATCTGAAGAGCTCCCAGTGAGCTCATAATAAACACTGAACGCCTCGAGCCACAAACTCTACATGAGCTTCTTTCATGTGTTTCCCCAACAGCGCCGTAACTCGTTTCTTCACTTTCATAGTCCGATGCATAGCTAAAGAAATCATCTAGCTAGTCTCAACCGTATTGTCGCGAATTAGACGTTCAACCACGTTGGATAATGATGTCACACACGTATGGAGTAATAATAATACTTTTAAGGAATCTGTTTGAAATCGAATTAACGCTGAATGTTTTGCTATATTATTCAAGGTGCTTAAAGTACATGAATTTGACTGTTTGATATTTAAGTCCTGGAAAACCCTTGAAAACAAACATATTTACGTAGAGGGACTTAAAAGTGCTTGACTTATTTAAATATAGTATGTATAGTAAATATAATTTTTGCGAAAATACAAAAAAGCAATCTTGTCAGGCAAAATGAACACCGCAGCCCGTCTGATAAACCCCCATCAGACCTTTTCTCATTACAAAGTACGCCAACATTATAATATAAAATATTATTTATTGAACAATAATAGCCATTATAAACTTTGTATTTAATATTTCTCACAAGAAAGCATCGTGTACACACGAGAAATTATCGCGCTCTCACTAGAAACTATCGCGCGCCCGCGGGAGACTATTGCGTGCTCCCAAGAAACTATGGAACGCTCGTGGTAAACGTAAGAAACTACCCTGCGTTTGTGGGAAACCATCACATGCTCACGAGAAACGTATCACACACTCATGGGAAACTATCGCACGCTCGCGGAAAGTATCACGCGATCCCGAGAAACTATCGCGTTCTCACAAAAACTATCGCGCACTCAGGAGAAAGTATCGCGCGCGCTGGAAACTATCGTGTACTCGAGATAAACTATCACACGCTCACGAGAAACTATCGCGCGCTCGCGGGAAACTATCGTGTACTCGAGATAAACTATCACGTGCTCTCACGAGAAACTATCGCACACTCCCAAGAAACGTATCACACACTCATGTGAAACTATCGCACGCTCCAGAGAAACTATCGGGCGCTCGCGGGAAACTATCGTGTACTTGTAATAAACTATCACACGCTCGCGAGAAACTATCGCGTGCTCGCGGGAAACTATCGTGTACTCGAGATAAACTATCACTTGCTCTCACGAGAAACTATCGCACGCTCCCAAGAAACGTATCACACACTCATGGGAAACTATCGCACACTCGCGGAAACTATTACGTGCTCCCGAGAAACTATCGCGTTCTCACAAAAACTATCGCGCGCTCGCCGAAAACTATTGTGTACTTGCGATAAACTATCACACGCATTCCCAAGAAACAATCGCACACTCCCAAGAAACTATCGTGTACTTGCGATAAACTATCACACGCTCCCAAGAAACTATCACGTGCTCGCGGGAAACTATCGTGTACTCGAGATAAACTATCACACACTCGCGAGAAACTATCACACACTCCCAAGAAACGTATCACACACTCATGTGAAACTATCGCACGCTCGCGGAAACTATCACGTGCTCGCGGGAAACTATCGTGTACTCGAGATAAACTATTACACACTCACGAGAAACTATCGCACGCTCCCAAGAAACTATCGCGCACTCGCGGGAAACTATCGTGCGCTCGCGGGAAACTATCGTGTACTTGTAATAAACTATCGCGCGCTCCCAAGAAACTATCGCGCGCTCGCGGGAAACTATTGTGTACTCGAGATAAACTAGCACGTGCTCTCACGAGAAACTATCGCACGCTCCCAAGAAACTATCGCGCGCTCGCGGGAAACTATCGTGTACTTGTAATAAACTATCGTGCACTCCCGAGAAACTATTGCGCGCTCGCGAGACACTATCATGTACTCGAGATAAACTATCACGCGTTCCGAGAAACTATCGCACACTCCCAAGAAACGTATCACACACTCATGGGAAACAATCACACGCTCGCGGAAACTGTCACGCGCTCCCGAGAAATAATTGCGTGCTCCCAAGAAACTATCACGTGCTCGCGGGAAACTATCGTGTACTCGAGATAAACTATCACGTGCTCTCACGAGAAACTATCGCACGCTCCCAAGAAACGTATCACACACTCATGGGAAACTATCGCACACTCGCGGAAACTATTACGTGCTCCCGAGAAACTATCGCGTTCTCACAAAAACTATCGCGCACTCTGGAGAAAGTATCGCGCGCTCGCTGGAAACCATTGTGTACTTGCGATAAACTATCACGCATTCCCAAGAAACAATCGCACACTCCCAAGAAACTATCGTGTACTTGCGATAAACTATCACACGCTTCCTAGAAACTATCGCGCACTCGCGGGAAACTATCGCGCGCTCGCGGGAAACTATCGTGTACTTGTAATAAACTATCGCGCGCTCCCGAGAAACTATCACGCGCTCGCGGGAAACTATCGTGTACTTGTAATAAACTATCGCGCGCTCCCAAGAAACTATCACGCGCTCGCGGGAAACTATCGTGTACTCGAGATAAACTAGCACGTGCTCTCACGAGAAACTATCGCACGCTCCCAAGAAACTATCGCGCGCTCGCGGGAAACTATCGTGTACTTGTAATAAACTATCGTGCACTCCCGAGAAACTATCGCGCGCTCGCGAGACACTATCATGTACTCGAGATAAACTATCACGCGTTCCGAGAAACTATCGCACACTCCCAAGAAACGTATCACACACTCATGGGAAACAATCACACGCTCGCGGAAACTGTCACGCGCTCCCGAGAAATAATTGCGTGCTCCCAAGAAACTATCACGTGCTCGCGGGAAACTATCGTGTACTCGAGATAAACTATCACGTGCTCTCACGAGAAACTATCGCACGCTCCCAAGAAACGTATCACACACTCATGGGAAACTATCGCACACTCGCGGAAACTATTACGTGCTCCCGAGAAACTATCGCGTTCTCACAAAAACTATCGCGCGCTCGCTGGAAACCATTGTGTACTTGCGATAAACTATCACGCATTCCCAAGAAACTATCGTGTACTTGCGATAAACTATCACACGCTCCCAAGAAACTATCACGTGCTCGCGGGAAACTATCGTGTGCTTGTAATAAACTATCGTGCGCTCCCGAGAAACTATCACGCGCTCTCATGAGAAACTATCACGCGCTCGCGGGAAACTATCACACGCTCTCGCGGGAAACTATCGCATGCGCAACAAATTAGTTTTCTAATTTCTCGCAATAGTTTCTTGTGAGCACGAGAAAGTCTGTATATTTTTATTTTTGCTAAAGGTCCCTTTAGGGGATCCTTAGTGCGGAGATTGCAGTACTACCAAACCAAAAAAAAATAAAAAATAGTGCTTGAAAAGTCCATAAAAGTCCTGGAATTAATTTTCACATTATTTGTACGAACCCGGGTTTATAAATAAAGTTTGATTGATTGACTCTTTGACGTGTAGTCGTTCTGTAGAAGAAGGATCTGATGTGTTTGAGTTGCTGACTCTGAACACTGTTGTATATTGTGATGTTTTTCAGAATCAGAACCTCCTGGTGGTGTCTAACCTGCGGCCGGGCACGTTCTACCGGGTAGATGTGCATGTGATCACCGCTACTGGAGAAGGACCCGCGACGAAGAGAGTGTTTCTGACGCCCAGCCGACCGCCGATTCAGCAAAGTAAGAAAACGCACTTCTGGAAGTTAAAAAGGACCTGCTATTAAAGATGCACCGACTGACCGGCGCATTTAGGATGCAGAGATGTTTTCATGTGTAACCAAGATGTGTGTTTGTTCCTGACAGAAGCACAACTTCATCAGCATCACCATCAGAAGTCTTCAGTGGAGAAACACTGAACCGGTCAGAACACGAAACACAACAAGCAGCGAATCGCAGTTTCCTTCAGACGCTCTGAGCCTTCGTTCTTCAACAACACCCCAAACTCTTGTGCTGTCGCCCCGGTCCATGTGTGCGCTTACATTCAGAAACCATTTCAGCAAGTTAAGAGCGATGTTGTGTTCCTGGGGATTTGGTCAGACTCTATGAAATGGAGTTAAATTGAAATGGATGGAAGAATGGGGTGTGTAATCAAAGAGAGTTCATGATGATCTGAGATCAGATCAGATGATGCATGGCAAACATATTCAGTCAGTATTTCCCAAACCCGTATCTTTATTCAGCTCTTTTCCATTTCCAAGCATCACTGATCGTTTGTGTGATTAAATAATGACTGGATTTTAGGTTGAACTGTTCCTTTAATAGGGTGTGAAATCCATCTTTGATGCCTTTTATTATTACGTTAGCAATTCTCCATTACAGATTAACAGAGAGTGTTTTGTTTATTAATAAAATGATTACTTATGCGTGTTTTTTTGATGGAATGATGTAAACTATATATGTTCTCGACTGTAGAGATATTTGTTGCGGCAGTCAGTGAATGTTGATGTTGATATTTATTTATGTGTGTATTGCAACACTTCATTTGTATGTGTGTATGTGTGTATTTTCCCCCATGTATTAGCAAGTCAGTGTTTTATAAAATACAACTTTGTGTAAAGACATAAAAAAAAAGAATTGTACATATAGTGATATGTTCCATTATTTCCATAGAACCTGTACATACTTTTAAGTAATAAAATAGTTCCTCTACTAATTCAGATCATCTGTAGTCCTGTGTAAAACATTTGATGTCAGTGACGTACCTCAGATCTGTGGGAAATAAATAAATGCATCACTGACTGAAATAAATACATATAAATCAAACAGAAATACACTACTTGACTTCCTTTAACTACTTCAACCATAAATATGTACAATTAAAATAATTAATTTTAAAAATAAAAAACAAAATAAACTGTTGTTGCATGCTATGTGACCATTAACGGACATGACGTCAGGGGCACTTTTATTTCTAAATATCATATTTTACGTCAGAGTTTGAGAATCGCTGGTGAACTATTGAAGTTTTTGCCAGTTATTTATTATTATTTCAAGCGTTTCGTTAGACGCAAGTTTTTTGTTAGTCGTAATTACGGTAATTTTCTGACGTAAACGTGTACGTTAGCTACGGTGTGCGTGTTCGGCGCTGGCGATTTTAAAGTAAGAAACTCTTGAAACTCTCTTCACTCACACCCTGATAACAAATAATAGAAGTGATTTAAATACTTAAACATGTATATATCTTGTTTGGAAGTCTCAGGACCAAAAAATGTCAATAGTATTGGTCCAAAATGCAACGATATCCTACGTAAATACACGATGCAACCCGCGACTTTACCTTCACGTCCTCACTCGGATTTGCGTTTCTCTGTCAACACTAACGGATGAATCTGCAGAAGAAGTCAGGTACTAGATCTCTCTGTTAGTTGTTTACCATCGTAAAGTTGTGTGCTTTTAGACATGAGGTAATTTAACCTACATGTGCTCTAAAAATATTCACTGTTTGTAAAGGAAATTAGAGGAGTAGGCAAGCTTTCGGACACATTACTTCATCTTTACTGGACCCCATGCCATTTAACCACTGTTAAAATTCTTCACATTCAATTTTATTTAATTTCCTACTGTTTCTGAGAGGAATGTAAAGCACGTCTGGGTATTTCATGAACTCCGCATGTGTTTGCAATTTGCAATGATGCATTTAAAGGTTAATCACCAAACGTATCTTTAAAAAAAGATATATAATGTGGACAACACTGAAAAAACCCCATATATTTTCGCCAGATTAGTTATTTATGAATCACTCAAACACCTTTATCTAACCTTTCTATTTATCTGTTGGATCGAGATGGTTGGTTGGATCTGCACTTCGGTTTTTAACCGGAAGTAGACCGTCCAGGTATTTTTGTAATCCTCATCTCAACATACTATGATTTGGCACACGCTAGATCTAATTTAGGACGGATAGGTGAATTGTCCATTGTTTTTCCTTTTTATAAATGTCAGAAGCTCTCTTTTTTTTTGTTTTTACACCAAATGGCCATTTTGCGTCCAGTCATCATCCAGTGCCCTTCTGTCCGTCAGTGATGTTGTTTCATGAAACTACACATAACATGAATAACATGAATGTGTTTATTAATTCCTGATGTCCATGTGAGTTAATCCACTAGATCAAATCAAGTCCCCTCATTTATATAGTGCTTTTAACCATTATGTTTTACAGTGATAACAGGAGATTACAGTAACAGAGAGTGTTTAGGCTTTACAGCAGATCTAGAATAAAGTAATTGTCCAGATATAGTTAGTTTTGATTCACTTCTGTTGCAAAGATCATTAGTTACTAACATAGGGGACGCTAACCCGACACAGCTTTACTGAAAACCCTTAACGCGCTCCGGCTCATTCACACAACAACAGTGTTTATGGTTTGAGAACGCAAGCCGTTATCTCCGCGTAAACTTAAAAAACGCAAACATGTGGAAACGCTGGGTATCACGTGTTTAGTCTATAGGTATGCGCATGTAAATATATATGTAGTCTTTCTTTACTAATTTAGCTCATCAAATTACTTTTCTGGCCTTAAAAAAAAATCATAATACAGATTTTTTTTTCTCTCCGGGTCAAAAACAGAACCTTTTATTCATTCCTGCTTTCAAGCTAATGCTTTTCTTATGCCTTTAAACCTTCTTAACAAGAACGACGACAGTGGCAATCAACAGTCATTCTTCTACATAACCTCTGACAAGATGCAGAGAGAGAAATCCTGATAATAATTGTTTCCGTTGCGTATGATCAGTGATTTCCATGCGCAGGATTTTCCTCATTACTCGTCGCATGAGTGTTTCAGATTCCTCCAGGTCCTGACAGCATCTCACGTGTCTCGTCCTCTCCTCTGAACTCGTTCTGGAGATTAACGCCGCCTCTCACGAGACCTTCGCTGCACGCTTGTGATTTACATTCTTTGCTGCGCTGCTTAAAGAAAGACCTCCTGAAATCGAAATGGATGCTTTTGAGCTTTTAGGATGACTAAGTGAATATGTTGCTACGAATAAGCCAACAAAATGAGCAAATGTGCATTTAGGAGATATAAGCATTCAAAACTCACAGTCTCTCAAAGATCACGCATTTTTGTGACATCAACGGGGCTCATCACATCTTCTGGCCAATCACATGCTCTCTAGAATCTAAAACTCCGCCCCCATACTATAAACACCACCTGGCCGAAGCGACCAATGACATGTCACGCAGAAATACGTGTTGGAGTGTGTGTACGGTTGCTCAAACGCTCCAGTTTTATTCTGTTTTCCAATTTTTTAGTTTAAAGGGTTAGTTCACCCAAAAATGAAAATTGTGTCAGTATTTACTCACCCTCATGTTGTTCCAACCCCGTAAGACCTTCGTTCATCTTCGCAACACAAATTAAGATATTTAAGATATTAAGATCGCTCCATAGGCTTCTTGAGGGACTGGCTCTTGCTGGCCTCGAAAAGTCATTAAAGACATCGTTAAAATAGTCCAAGTGACTACAGCGGCTCAATTTTAACTTTATCAAACGACGAGAACACTTTTGTGCGCAAAAACAACAAAAATAACGACTTTATTTCAACTATTCGTTTCTGCGCGAGTCAGGTTACTAGTTTAATAGCGTAAGCTTCTGTTATTGTACGTCACACGCATCACACACATGACCAGCGTCGGCCAATAGTGAGCCTACGTGTGACGTAGCTTTACACAATCACACTACGTTAACTGACTACAGGCCCATGGAGAAGGAAGTGAATAGTTGAAATAAAGTCGTTATTTTTGTTGTTTTTGCGCACAAAAGTGTTCTCGTCGTTTGATAAAGTTAAGATTGAGCCGCTGTAGTCACTTGGACTATTTTAACGATGTCTTTAATGAGTTTTCGAGGCCAGCAAGAGTCATTCCCTCAAGAAGCCTATGGACTAGTATGCAGGAGCGATCTTAATATCTTAAATATCTTAATTTGTGTTGGGAAGATGAACGAAGGTCTTACGGGGTTGAACAACATGAGGGCGAGGAAATACTGACAGAATTTTTTTTTATTTTTGGGTGAACTAACCCTTTAACTGACTACAGGCCCATGGAGAAGGAAGTGAATAGTTGAAATAAAGTCATTATTTTTGTTGTTTTTTTTTGCGCACAAAAAGTGTTCTCGTCGTTTGATAAAGTTAAGATTGAGCCCCTGTAGTCACTTGGACTATTTAACGATGTCTTTAATGACTTTTCGAGGCCAGCAAGAGTCATTCCCTCAAGAAGCCTATGGAGCGATCTTAATATCTTAAATATCTTAATTTGTGTTGCGAAGATGAACGAAGGTCTTACGGGGTTGGAACAACGTGAGGGTGAGTAAATACTGACCGAATTTTCATTTTTGGGTCAACTAACCCTTTAACGTCCCATTTGAAACAATTTGAAACATTTTAATCTCTATATTGGCACTTCTTCGAAATGGGACGGTAAATGAACGAACCACATGTCGATGTTCCTACACTCTTATATTTAAAGGATCTTTATTGGCTTGAAGAACCTTTATCTTCCAGGGAAACGATTGTTTAGATTATTAATGTTCTTCACACACTCATTACGGTTCTTTTACTGAAAGGTTCTTCACTTCACATCTGGGAAATCCCAGTTTTTGGACCTTTATTTTCAGGAGTGTGTTGGCGAGTCCTCCTCTTTCCCGTCCCTCGCTCATTAGATGTCCCGGGCCGACTGCTCAGGGCCCTGGGGTGTTTCTGCTTAAACTCTGCAAACATGAAAGACTGTTTCGTCTACATGTAATGAAGAACAGAGAACAGACCATGCGGACGGAGACAACACCGCAACAATGAAGGAAAGATAACCCTGGGGAAAATAGGCTCAAAAATGAACTAATACTGCAGAAATCAAATTTCCATGGTGGTTAATTACATTAGGCAATTGCAAATATTAGGCAATTAAATTTTGGTGTTGTTCATTTTTTTTAGTTTGAAAATGTTTTGTTGAATTTTTAAAAATCGCTACTTTATCGAAATGGTACGAAACTCTGTGACTTTTGTGGCAGACACTATGTGACCAAATTGTAACAAATTGTAAAAGCGAAATGGTCGTTAAAAAATAGTCACAATTTTGTTGTTCGAGGTTAGAAATGAGCGCCATATGAAATTAATGGGAAATACGAAGAAAATAAAAAAAGAGGGCAATTTTTGGGGAATACAATCTAGAAACAAAGCGCATAGAAGTGAAGGGGCGACACTAAAATAGACACATTGACAATAAGGAGTCTTTGAGAATGTCTTAATACACATCCAAACCCACAACCTAATAAAAGTAATTTATGATGTCTAAAAACAACTAGAATTTAGTGGCGTTACAGGTGTATTTATTTATTTATTTATTTATTTATCTACCTTCAAAAATTGGATTTTTACGGCATGGTCTCTTTTGTGAAAAATGTGAAAAATAATAATTTTCAATGGGGGAAAAATATCATAATCATCGCATAATTGGTGACATATTTCTGTCAAAATACATAATAAAGAAATAGAAAATTACTGAAAAAAATATTACATTGATTTTTACTAGGGCTATGCAAAAATGAATTGCGATTAATCGCATCCAAAATAAAAGTCTGTGTTTACATAATATATTTGTGTGTGCTGTATATAATTATTTTGGATATATAAATTACCACACATGCACGTATATATTTAAGAAAATGTGTTATTCATGTATTAAATAATTATATAATTTAGATTATGTATTTATATATATTTACAGACTTTAAGTGTGAATAATTCTTAAATATA